GTCATCCGATGATTCTCGGATTCTTCATTGACAGGTTCATTCCATGGTCGAATTTTTTTTGATAGCATTTCTTGTGATGAAGGTGTACTTAATTGACGTTTATTATGACAAATATTACCCTTATCTTCATCTCGACGTTGTTCATTCGAATGCGCATCTTTTGTAGATAACTGACTTAATTTCTGTGATAAAATTTGTTGACCAACAATCTAAATGATAGGAAAAACTGGTGTCTCTACAGTTTTCATTCGATAGAAGTTAATTCTGCTTTACTTGATTAGTATGTTTCTGGCTCATGCTTATATTTTCTTCGAGAAACATTTCTTCTTCATTTGCATGCATAAATAAATGATCAAAATTGAAATCTTTATTGTATTCTTCCATAATATCATTAAGATCCTCGACATTATTCTCTTCATTCAGAATATCAAAGTAATTATCAAACCCTTCCAAAAGGATCAACTGAATCAAATATTCAATTGATATTAGAAACAAAAGGGCAGAAAAAAAAGTATATTACTCACATTATTTTCTTCCTCTGTAGTAAGATCAACAGTATTAATTGAATCGGTGGTATACTTTGCCATGACAGAGCCAATATAGAATGATTCTATTTTTCTTTTTTTTAATTTCTGCTTGAGAAAGGTAAAAAGATCTCTTTCGTATTATCTAGAATAAACATGTCTGATTATTGTATAGATAATCACTACAACATATAGAACTACAACCATATGAATATATCTTCTTTACTTTCTATCAAAATGCTAGATTAAGATTAGTGTGGATAACAAAAAGCATAAGAAATGATATGCACATAGAATAGAATAAGACTGCTACAAAGAAAAAAAGAAAGTAACGAAACAACTTGAAATTGATTGATCTTGATCGAAACATTGAAAGATTTATTCTATGCTAGTATAAATAGTTCAGTTGAAATATCGAATGAAAATAGTATTTCTTTGCTTTAATTATGTATTCTTCGATGTTTGCTTTGCTAATAGACGAGGATGAAGTAAATTTTCACACCAATATCCTTCAATTGTACTATCATCAGATTTCAATTCTTGATCCACATTACTAGTCGTAATCACCAATTTTGGTTCTGCATACATGACCAATAAAGCTTCTACTGTATGGCGCAATGCATCCGAAGCATTTTCAGGTACTAATAGAGAGTAAGAAGAAAAACATGAAATTCATAGAATGTATCTCAAAAAACAATCAAATAACAAATAGAATAAATTCTCTTACAAGCAATAACAATAACAGCATTGTAAAGATCGAGAAATCGGGTTACAGAAACCTCGGATTTCTTGTGAAAAAATTCATATTGTTCAAGTATTTGTAGCAAAGAAAATTGATAATTTGATGGAGGTAATGGTACATGATTAACACACCATCGAACTAAGGGCATTGTTCGCTCATATCGATTAATTTCTCTTTCTATGAAAAGTGAATCTTGATAATTCATCAAGAGTTGTCTTTTTGCAGAAGTTAGATTAACATTATCGATTCGAGCTTGTTCATGAGTCATTGGTACAAAACACCAATATTCAGGATGACATTGTAAGAAGAGTTGCAAAGGCACAGAACATTGCGTAGAATGCTCATATAACTTTCTTTGACAATCAGAAATCAATCTAAATATATCATTTAGTGTATGTGTGTCGCTCTTAAAGAATAGAAGATGAACATACGGATCTGATTCGCGATCATCTTGTAAACGATTAGCATTAATTTTTCCAATGAAAAAATTGCTAATCAATCGACATCCATACGTACGATGTTCTAAAAGTAATATGTTACAGAAGAGTATGAAATGAACCGTTAGATACTTCTCATTCGTTCACGAAATGCAACATGACATCGACCAATATAATCATAACGATGGCAAGGACATGTCAAAGCATAGATCACATTTGATGTGGTACAAGTCTACTATGGAGGATGATTTTCATAGGATGTAAAATAATCTATATCAATTAATTTTACTCACCACATCACAATTCAAATAAACTCTATACTGATTAAGAAAACAGTGAACTTGTTTGTTAGAAAAATGCATTGCTCGTTCAAATCGATTCGTTAAGTCCAGACGTTCATAACAGAAACGGCAACTTTTATCTTTACATTGTTTCATACCATAGTGAGCTCTTGGTGTACCATAAGGAAATATACCAATATAGTCCCATTGTGGTTTAGCATTATAAAAATTACATGTCTTCATATAGAAACAGGAAGCTACAGTAAAGAAGAATAAAAAACAAAAAAGCATTTCATTTGAGAGTCACACGATCTATTTAGAATTGTTCGAACAAACCATCCATTTGTAAATAATATTCTAAAACAATAAACCATTCTTCCATAGATAATTGATAGGATTTTTGTTGAACTTTTATAAAATAATCGTGTAATGTAAATCGAGAAAGTAGATGATATAATCGATTCAAATTAATCGTTAACACAGTTTGATGAACATTCCATTGGCGACCATAGAAATCTAACCATTGTTGTAAATCTAATCGGAGTTTGACATCAAATTGCAGTAACAACGAAGCATACTTTTCCTCAAAATGATGTGCTCGTCGAACACGTTGTTCGACCGTAGATAATTCTTTTACTACAACAACATATGCTGCAAATAAATTACATAATCGAAATGAACAAATGCCTACTGGGTGTATTAGCTAAAAGTGGATAAAATTCATTGTTATTATTGCAAACAGGAAAAACAGGAAGAAATAATTGCTGAACAGTTGTTTGAATTGTTGCAAGACGTAATTGACACAAACGTGAAGGATTCTCAGGAAATGGTATCGGTAGCCATTCTTGCTGTTCTTCTTTTTGTTTGGTTGAGTCGAATAAATTACTAGTACTAATGTTCATGGTCTCCAATGTTTGTATCGATACGTGAGCAACGTTGTGTCTATATCGTGGATGATGTGGTAGAATAGGTGATGCACTTGAAGTATCTAAATAAAATCTCAAAAGTCGACTAGAGAGTAGTTGAAATTCAGCATACCAGTGGAATCATGAGGTAGAACATCTGTTGAAAGTAAACGTTGACGAAACATTTAGCTTTTTTCTCTTGTTCAAATCGCTATTTTTCTGATAAAACACACACACACACAAAATAGGCAAAGATCTACAAATAATATTTCTAATATAATAGATAATTAAATGAAAGAAAGAATGAAAGAAAATAATAAGTTTCTTGTACGAATGACCAAGCACTAATGAAAAGTAGAGATTACATACAATAGAAAAAGAAAGTGTTTTCTTGTGCAATATTATCGGCGCACTAGATTTCGACACCATTCCTCACATTCCATTGGAGCAGAGGTTTGATTTGTAGTATGAGTTGAAACAAATTGATCTAAATGACCGATAGTATTGAGTTTGGTTTCAGTATGTGTAATAAATAAGGCTTCGACGAATCGTCTCACAGCTGCTGTGGCATATTCTGGTACTGTTATGAAATGCAAGAAATAAATATCAAAGTGAAATAGATATTCTCGAATGCCACTCTTTTGCTACTCCTAGATTAATACTTACATATTGCAACAATAGCTGCTTGATACAAATCGAGATGAAGATTAGGTGTGTTTAAATAGATTTTTTCACGAAAAAATTGATCAATCGCATTTTTCTGTTCATCACTAAATCGATAACCATTTGGTGGTGTGGGTACATCATTGGCATATGTAAAACTATCCGGCTCCGCGATGTAGCTATTTGAATGGATATATATTTGATCGGAAAAATACGAGAAAGAAATCCTTACTATACTAGTTCCTTTTCTTCTCGTTGCTCGTCTGCTTCGGTGAGTTTTCGAGGAATAAAAGGCCAATAGTGAGGATTTTCATCGAGAAACCATTGTATAGCCGATGAACAATGAGTTGAATGTTGATAAAGTTTCATGTCATTTTTAACAAGTGTTCTAAATATCATAGGATAGAAAGAGATAGTTTTATTAGAGATGAATTTACTCGAATGATGGCAATTCATTGCGAATATGAGCTGTATTTTTCTTGCCGAGAAGAAATTCTTGTACGATACGATTTCCATGCTGTTGGTGATCTAGGAAAATCATACTTTTTGTAAAAATATTATATCAATAATGAAAGAATTTTCTTCTACAAGCGAGACGATAGTTTAGTGATGAACTTGTTTCACCAATATAATCCACTTGTTGGCATGGACAAGTAAGTACATATATAATATTTCTTGTTGTACATGTTGCTGGACAATTGAGAATAGATCGATATCCATTGATAAATGTATGTTGCTGATGGGATCCAAATTGGATAATGGGTTGTTGCTGACGGTACGCCAATTTATACGATGGATAACATAAACAACAAGACAATTGATGACATCGGCTCATATCATATCGAGCTTCTGGTTCACTTAGACAAAATAAACTTTTCTCATCGAGAATTGACAGTTGTGCTCCTCGATAAGAACATGTCTTCATATAGAAGAGATGAAAATCCATTTGCAAAAAGAATTCCAATACTAAAGAATATTCTTCTTCTGAAAGATATTCTTGATCGGGTCGAGTCGAGAAACAATGAATTCGATTTGCCGCAAATAATTGATTTAATTTTATCATTCGCCGAAAATTAAATTCCAACACATCTCGATGAACATTCCACATACGACTTAAGGAAAAAATTTGTCTTTCATGATCATTAGCTGGTTTTATCGAAGTAGGTTGATGATATCCTTGTAGACATCGGCGTTCTAAGTCTTCTTGCTTCAGCTGATGTACTATATATTGGAAAAAAAGAATTCATACACAAATGAATAGATGAAACTATGGATAATTTTTTTTCGAGTAGGCCTACTTGGAATATTAGTCAAGAGTAAATGAATATGAGTACTATCGTTTACCGTTGGATAAGAAGGTAGGATGGCATATCGTGCATTGAAACAAGACTGTTTTAATATCTGTAATGTAGGAGTCGATGCTAAAATTGTATAGAAACAGAATAAAATCACCATAAATATTCGAATGATATTTTGTCTACCTGATGCTTGACCATGAAGATTTTGAAACATAATTTAACTGTATTATACCCAGTGGAAATGAAGAAAACGAATCTAGAAATAATTCGATTTATCCTTATTTATTTATTGCTTTATTTATTTGTTGCTGTTTTTGAAATCTAATATATTTTGATTGAAATAGATGCATTTCCATCTAAACTATCGATACTAAAATGATTACATATAAAACACAAAAAAGATAAAATAAAAAGATAAAATAAGAATGATCAGTTTATTTATTTGTTTTGGAATTAGTCCGATTTTTTATTTCTTCGTTATATGCTTGAATCAATTGTTTCCATTTTTCTATCTCTTGTTTCTCAATTTCTTTATCTTGAGTGTTGTTGTTATTATCAACACTTTTATTCTCGTCCACGGTTGTATCTGAAGAATTATCACGATCAATCAGAAGATTGCGTTTATCGGTCGACGTGAACGAAAAATCATGATTCATATTACATTTTAAATCGAATGTTGAAGAGAGTTCACAATGACAAGTATTCGATTGTTGTTGTCGTGACTGATGATAGTACTGTTGATACAATTCTTCTAATGCGGATGCATCAAAAATCTGATATTTCTTATCCATCTCTGGATCAAATAGTAAGAAACGAAAAAATCTGAAATCGAAAGAACTATAGGAGATTTATTGCATAAAAATTAATCAGAGAAAACAATTTTTTCTTTTCTTTTTTTTTCTATGTGTCTCTAACTATAATTTGGAAATATTCAATGTGAAGGATCAGTTTGTATTCGATGGATATTTGGCTAAATGAACAATTTCAATGGTAATGCCTTGTGAATCGAAATTATCATACAAGTATGCTGGTAATAATTCTCGTGGGTTTTGTTTGGCACGATATAAATCAGAACCTGTCAAATTGGAATAGCTATACCAAATACATTGTTTTTGTGTTTCTTCACGAGATTTCATTATTTTTTCTTTATTTTCTTCATCATATTGTCGAACAGATCGACGAAGTACATCGTAAGTTGCTTGATCATAATAAAGTGTAAGATCTGATACTTGAAAATGTGTAAAAAAATTGTCGAGACTTTCTCGAATATAATTAAATGAAAATCGATTAAATATATATGAATATTCAATATATTGTTGTTCGTGCTGAAAATCTTCCACTTGTGCGCAACATAGAACAGCACGAATTAAAGCCGTTTGAATAAGATTCCAGGATGAAAAAGCAGATGCATCATACATAGTTGGCATAATGTATGGTTCAACTTTCCAATCATGATAAACTTCAGTTTGAAGAGTCTGCTTATGCCAATGATGAATTTGTGCATCTAAGAAATGAATATGTTCAGTTTTCATTTGAATATCATACTGTATGTATGAATCTTTCTTTTTTATCTTATCAAAAATGAGTTCAAGGTTCTCTTTTGCTTCATTCGATGTAAGAAATAAATTTGAAAAACAACGAACAAATATTTCATTTTGATTTTGATAGGCAAGTATAGTTTGTTGCCAATAGAATAAATAAATATCTATTAAAAGTTCAAGGAAATATAAACCAGTACCACCGCCTTGGACTTGTTGATAAATACAATTATTATAAAGAAAATATTGATGTTGAAGAAGAAATTCAGTTAATTTTATGATTGCCATTAAATTCATACCTTGTATCTTGTCGTCCATGATATAATCATCGAGAAAATGTTTTAAATTTTTAAGTAATTCTGAATGAGAGATGGATTCATAAGGATCTCGAATACATATCGAAATGAAGTAAGTACTTGATTGTAAATAACCTTGTTGTTGATAAAATTCTAAGCGTTGAATTAAATCAGCACCTTTAGTAACAGTAGTGAGACGAGCTACTTGATTATAATAGAGAGGAGCTAAAAGACGATGTAAATAACGACATATAGGCATCAATGGACTTAATGTAGAAATTATGCTTGGTTCGAACATCACCTCTTCATACTCATCTGTAGTCGGATTAAATGACATATAATCTAAATGAATAGTTGCAGGCCGACAATTCATTTGATGATATTGAAGTGTAGTAATTAATTCATGATCATAGAGAGTTGTTAATAAAGTTTCAATTTCATTCACCATTGTATTAAGTAATTGTTGAACAATATCCTGACGTTTGGATACTTGTAAATTTTCTATTTCAGTATAAGCTTTTGTTCGTAACATATAATCATTAGTTTTCGCATCGAACATATTCTTATGACAAACATATCGAAGATTATTTTTAGTAGATGTCATAATCAAATAATTTTGTCGTTGTAATTGACGGCCGTATTTCCTGAAATGCCTCCTTTTAATACAATCTAATAATGGAGCATCATGTTGAAATGGTCGTACATGTATCATCGGTATTTCTTCATTCTGTCGATCTATATAAGGTGTCCATAGTTCTTGAACATCCGCATTGTTCAAACAACTACTTTGTATAATCAAAAACAAAGAAGGATTTCTAAAATCAACCATCAGTATATCTATAACAACAACAAAAAATTACTCATCATTGGCTTTTCTTTGAGACATTAGTGAACTAATTTATACAGAGTGTGTTATCTGTGCAATGAAAATTCAATGAGCTATTATAATCAAAAAGTTTTCCACCAGACTTGATGAGATTTTCCTACCTAATTACTTGAAACTATATAAGCAGTGCTCAGTGAAATCGAAGATAAAGTGCAAAGCAACATAAACACATACGAGCGTCTGGTAGTAGTGCCACCAATAACGTATTTCTGTCAGGTATAGAAAGGCAGCTGTGAGTTCGAGTATAATGAAATATCCTTGTACTTGAATGAGTATAGGAGACAAGATTGTTATTAAAGTTGTGTCGATGAGGACGACGACGACGCCAGCGAATTATTTTGGATACTCTAGCAGATTCGTCTTTGACAGAGTTGATTTTCAGAAGAATAGTCACATAAGATGGAATAGCATGAAGCAAAGTATGATACGATGATCAAAATCCTGAGTTTGATAGATCATCTGAATTATCTACAATAAAGATAAAAATACATGCCATAAATTTCTAGATAACCATCATATTAACTATCATATTACTCAAATATTTAATAGAATAATCGAGAAATCAAAGTATAAAAAAAAACAAAAAAAAACTAGATGAAACATTCACAAGCACTATATGGAAGCCAGGCGATAGAGTCGATCATATCATTAGATCGAAATAACTATTCTAAAATGAGTCTACAATTTTAAATAGTAAAAATTTCAGTATATGAACTTGGATGATTGTTGTTTCCGATGGTAATAGTTTAAACTCTACTAAAAAAACTTGGCTTCAAAGCATAGATATGTTTCACACATTTGAGGATGTTTTTTTGACGGTCATCAATGAGTAAAAGCATCGTTGTACTCAACCGTTCTTGTTGTGGAAGATGGCGTTGATCATTCCACAATTGAGCCATAAATGTATCAAAATTTGTTTGATGTTCTTGTGTCTTAATTTCAGTTGCCTGGGTCAAAGCCATCATTAAATCAGCTTTTGCTCGTTGTATGATTCTCATGTAATTATTCGATAATCGTTCACGTTGTTGAGAATTAGTAATGGAAGTTATCAATGTTGATGGTGTTTCTTCCAATGCATTCAATGAATCAGGTAATTTCTTATAGAGAATACCAAATTTAAATAAAATTAATTCTTGTTCCGATTTTTCTTTCTGAAGTTGAAGCGCACATATACTCTGTGCTAATTTGATCTAGCATAGAATTCAAAAAAAAACAAACGAATAGAGATTCATAAAGATTAAATCTATAAGAAGAGAAAGACTTCGTGAAAGACCAATGAATAAACGTACTTGTTGTTCATTAGGTTTTTCCTGAAAAAATTTAAATTGTAGTACTTGATCCAAATACACATATTCAGCCAGTTCCATTCGAGCTTCAAAATGAAGTCGTACAGCAGTAACTTGATGATTCTTCTGCACGAAATCATCAATTTTATGCGTTAATTTATCCGAACCTGTCTCAATACGATGTTTAGTTGCATTAAATTCATATTTATAGAGAGTTGCTTTTGCATCTAATTGAAATAGATTTTTCTTAATAAAATCAACATAAATATCATAGGTAATTTCATTTTCATGAATGATATCATTATAATGTTGAGCGATAATCATGGATGTTACAGGAAAAGGCCAAATACAAAGAGTTCGAGT